GAAGAGAAGAGAAGAGAAGAGAAGAGAAGAGAAGAGAAGAGAAGAGAAGAAGAGACATTTAATGAAAACAGTGGTTAAAAACAATTTTCCAGCTGTCTCTGCTTTAGAGTTTGTGGTAGGAATAATACTTGGGCTAGAAATATGGTTATTTCTCCAGCTCTTTTATAAAGGCGAAAAGAACAGAGGGCATCCCTCCAAGAAAAAGCAGCCATGGGTATTCCCCTCTCACATGCTCACGCATGAAAGTTCCAGAGCTAGAGTCAGAGAGGAACAGCCACTTCCCATTCCACTACTGTTGCTTTCTTTCTTTAACATTGAAAGTGGGTTCCATGCAGTCATACTCAGCACACGTGGTTGTTGGGTTTTTTTTTTTTTTTTGTGCTCCTTAATCCTCTGATCATTTGATAATCCCCAGAAGAACAAGAAGAATTTGCTGCAAGCGAGAATATTTCCCCTAACATTTAAAAATAAAGTAAGGTAACTCCACCACCACTGCTGTCCTCAACTACCTGGAGAACCACTGTTCTATAGCATTTTCCTTGGACAAAATAGTTAGTTCTCTTTTTGTAAACAATGTCTCTCAAACTCCATCAGGACTTCCATTAGTGCCTGCTCGGCTGGGACAATCCCAACACTTTATCTGTGGGGTGGGGTGGGTTGGCCTGGCTGATGGGGGGCTGCAAAAAGGCCAGGGAGAACTGGAGATTAGGTAGTTCCTATCTGTTCTTCTAGAGTGAGTATGGGAGAGCTATGGGTCCACAGACTTCTCATCTGTGGCCACTAACTGCCAAAATTCAGCAACACTGTTTTCCACCGTTTTGACTCAGGATGTAAAAGAGACATCCCTAAGTTAATGTAATACAAAACCAAAATCTTCAAAAGAGAATGTCCACCTCATTTTGCACCATCCACTTTTCCTTCCCCCAAATTATTAAATGTACTCTCTGGCATTCAAAAGGTTGCCACCCCTGTTCTACAGGAAAACAGAACTCTGGTCAGTGACAAGAACCTGAGTACAAATCAATAGTCCCATTTCAAGCATATCTGCTAAAAACGTATCTAGATTTGGGTACTTCCACAACACCACTCTTCTTCTCCTATCCTCCGTAAGCAGTTAGCCTTCATTTCTGCTGAATCAGAAATGCTTAAAACAAGAAATAAAAATCACTATCTGCCACAGGTCCTGGAGCAACAAAAATCCTCTCACCCCAACTCTTCACCAAGTGGAAAGAAATAAGGAGGAAATCCAAAGGGATTTTGCAAACTATACAACCCCTGCCAAAGAGAATGGGAAAAACCCCACCCCCACCACAAATTTCAATCCCGATGGTCTGCTTCCGCTGTGGCGCAGGAGTTGCAAAGTCACAAGCCATCACTCCCTTTGAAAGACCTACTAGGATAGCTTTATCTCAGGAAGTGGGATGAAGGATGACCTAAGCATTCCCCTTCAGTAGGCAAAGGGATTCCCCAAATGTTCCACACAATCTCAGTGTTTTGTCACTGTCATCAAAGAGAGATTTCAGAACAAGATCAACAGACCGTGGGCTTGGCCCTCTTCATGTGAAAGTGCTCTTACCTAAGTTGCATCACATTAACACCAACTGATTCTGGTGTTTTGACGATGGCACAATGATTACATTTTAACTGATCAATCATTCACTCAATCAAACAATCAATATTGTTTTGCTTTGATCCCAATTTCAATATTAGGCAAATTTTTGAAGGTTTTTGTGGTGTTTCAGAAAGACGTTTTAAAAAGTGCAGAGCTAAATAAATATGATTGTGTATATTGGGAAGTTAGGCTTTAATGTACCACCTTTGAGAATTTATATTAACAAGCTAGTCTGACAACGCGTCATCTATTTACCTCACCATCTATGTGGATAGCGCTTCAGTAGGAACGTGGGTCGAAATAAGAACAAGTCCACACCTTCTCCTACATGGCCACCCTCCTGATATTTGAGACTGCTTTCACAGATTTGGTAGCACAGATTCTACAGATTAAGGCGTGGGGCCAAGCACTGCTGCTATACGCACCTCTGTATGGATCCTGAGGCTGGCTTAAGTCAGGAGATGTGGCAGACTGCACGGGCAGCTGCGGAACAGGAACTTGGTTTGGCACAAGCGAATGGCTGCCACGGAGGCCGACTGCATCTTCACGATGAGCCCCCACCTGCAAGAGGAGAAGGAAGGAAAGATGTAAACAGGATCGTTTTAAGCGAAACCAGCCAAGACGCTACTGGGTCTTCTATCAATAGCTCGGGGAGATGCTGGAAATAAACACAGGCATTTAAACATAATGGCAAGGCTTCCTTGTGGCTTTTCACTAGAGGGCGCCGAGGCACTGTCATAGGTATATATTATATGTATATACAAAAACACTTAACAGTCGGTAAGGCGCTGTGCAGCACATTTAGTGACAAACACAGCAAAGGAGCTCAGGCAGGTAAAACATCAAATTGTCTCTCCCAGGGTGCTGCAGGAGAGAGGCTGATTCGTACCCATCTGTCTTCTATCATGTCCGCCAACAGATCTGACAATTATCTTAATGCCCATATGCTTAATTGTGGGCTTCTCAATTCCCTCACTGCTATCAGAAATCCTGCAGGAATTTCAATTTGGCATCCAACTTCCCTTTTAGGGGATAAGATTCTTGGGCACACCACCTCCCCCTCCCTGTTCCTCTCTACTTTTGTAATGCCAGCTAAGCTTCTGACAAGGCAGCTAGTGAAGCATCAGAAATCCCCCTACTACCCGATTTGTAGTAGTAGTGGCAGTAGCAGTAATAATAGTATCATCATTGCCATCTCATCCCCTGGCTTTCCAAAAACCAGAAGCCCAGACCCAGTGTAAATTAATCTTCTCTATTCTATCATCAGCCATAGATTCCAGCTCCAAGGGGGAGATGTTCTTGCCAATACCATGACTTCAGATAATATATCAATCAAAATTTTATTAACCACACCAGTAAGGCCATCATTGTAGGCATGAAGGTGTCGGTGTAATGGTGCTGTTGGCATAATTGATGGAACTAGCTTAATGGAAACACTTTTTTTTTTTTTTTTTGGTATGGTACACTGTTCAATATGTCTGTAAATTAAACCAGTTACAGAATTAAGAAAAAAGATCGGTAAGGGCGCTCCACTATTTTGTACACAATGCAAGCCCTATTCACAAGAATTATAAGATGACCTACGAAAGGTTTAGCTATTCAGAACACTGACTCAATAGAAGCGCTATTTATGTACTGCTGCCACTATTACGGCTGTTGCTACTACAGCTATCACCAGTGTGCCTACAATGATTAGGTGTTGTACAAACATTAAATAACAAGAAAAAGCTTTGCTTCCAAGCCCTCAATAAGTAGACAGATACAGGAGGAAAGGGGGAAAAAGCAACCAGGAAAACAAAGCCAATCTGGTGAAGTTAGGATGGTCAGATGTATTATGGTATGACCTGCTGTTGAGGAAAATCAGTGGTACAGAAAACTGCACAGAAAGGAAAGAAAATTAGGGTGGAAAGAAGCATGATAATCCTTAATTTATCTAACAGATTGGTTTCAAGAATAGGAAAGGCCCAAAAGGGTCATATAGAGGTAGAAGATAAAAGAGTTGTTTGACCAGCCATCTTGCATGTTTAATGAATATGCAGTCATCTAAGCATATGGCTGCCATGGGCAGAGCAACCAGAGATAACTAGGTGGGAAGAAAGACTTTGACTAGCACCCCAATGAAGACCACAGAGACTTTCTGAAAGGTTGATCTCATCCTCTTCAACAATCAGAAAACTCACGGCGGTAACGGTGTGCAGAATTCTGCTATGATAAAACTAAACAAGGGAATGCTCTTAAAATCATGATGTTTTCTCTCAAACCAGTCCTCTCCAACACTGAGTTCCTTGGATGTGTTTTCTTTATTTATTTACGCTCATTTTTATGCTGCCTATTTTCATGACTTTAGGAGACTGTGTTGGGCCACAGTCCCATCGTCCCAGCCGTTGGTCACACTGATGGGAACTGCAGACATCAAGTTTTGGGAGATGCTTTGAAGTCCAAGCATGCCTTTCATCTCAAAATGCTATTATTATTTTCAACACTTTCCTTTTGTACATGTAGACTTTTATTTGCATTCATGTTTAGTCAGGCAAGTCCTAATCCTACTACAGTTGGTTCCATTATAGACTATTATTAGTTATATAGCACTGTGGGTCCAACTCCAAAAAGGTGTTCTGGGGTGCAAATGTAGCACCAACCATATCTTTTCCTGGACAGGAAGCTGCCCTCTGCAGCTGTCACATGCTTACAGGAAGAGAAGTGGTTTCTTGCTTGATTGCTACAGTCAAGGCAACTCTAGTGGCATACCAAATCCACTGCAATAAAAGCAAAACACAATATACAATAAAAGAAATAGAATGTATAATAATTACAGTTTAAAAAATTAATATAACATTCTTGGCGCTGATAGCTCTACAGCAAGTTCCAAAGGATGGGAAACTCACAGAGAATGCCCACTTTTGGTCTTCCTCCTATCACGCTTACAACAGACATTCTCTGTATCCTCAGTTTACGTGGGTCTTGAAGATACCAACAGCCTGAGCCATATAGGGCTTAAACCAGCCCTTGAATCGGTTTAAACAGTTTCAGAGAGATACTGCATTTGCCTCCTAAATGCTGCAGTTTGAAGCACCTTTTGGGGGATCAAATCCAAAGTACTGAACACTCTTATAATAATTCTTCATAATATTCCTAATTCACAAACTCAGAAACAAGTATAAGTTTACATACACACACATACAATGAACAAAATTAAAAACAAGGATAGATGATAATGATGAATGATGATGAATGATAGTTTATTTCAAGGTAATCTCCTGTTAAATTTAACAGGTATGTTAAATAATATTCCCTGCCTGCATCAAAGGACCATGATTTCAGATGAGATTGTTGAATGATTTAATAATTTGTCACAATGTGGCAAAACCAAGTCCAAAGTTAAGACTCTATAACTGGACAAGAGATCTCAGCAATTAAAAGCTATTGGGCAAATCCCACTCTCAAAATATATCACCAGTTCTCTTTACTGTTAACCTGTATGAGGAAATGTTTCAGAATACAGGACTTTAGGGGATGAAGCTGGTGTTTAATACCGATTTATTTCTTACACTGGCCCTTCAAGAAAAAAAAAATGAGGCTTTGAATTACATAAAAAAGAGATCTGGTGTGACAAATAGAAACTCTATCTAAGCCTGTCATTTTTGTGGGCAAATAAAACTTAGACATTTAACATTCCAAACAGTTATCTGTTTCAATCTGTGGGTGGAGGTAATGTAAGGGTTATAATGATTTCATCTGGCTCCGTCTTTCCATGAGACATAAACTGGGGGTGGGGGGAGAAAAGGAAAGGAACATATTACTTGGGCAAGGAGTTTTGAGCAGCGTAAAAACCTTCAGATATTTTTAAAGGCTTCTCACCTCAACTGAAATCTGCAATAGGAAGCTCAGATTTTGAGAGGATGGATCTCAGAGATCAAGAAAATTGTTTAGGTTCCCGTGTTAGGAACAGGAGGCGAACAAGGTCATACACAGCTATTTGTATAATCTGATGAATAGGACTATCAGATTTGATCTGGTCTGAAAAAATCTGGATGACCACTCAGTGGGCAGCATGGAGATACCGAAAACAGAATACAGTTTTTGCTTCCATCTAACAGTCATTCAGGTATCTACAGCCCAAATTAGCATACAACAGGGACAAAGAACTGGTCCTACTATAAGCTGCTATTATGCAAGATCGTTTCCATAGATGCTAGAAGTAAACAGGTACCCCTCATTCTATACCTGTGCGTTTGATTCTTGTTACTTAAGTGAAGAACTATACACTTTTCTCTGGCACTTTTCATTCTGATACTTTCAGCCCATTTCTCCAACTTATCAAAATTGTTTTCAATGTTAGTTCTATTTTCTACAGCGTTAGCGATCCCAGATGATTCTATGTCATCTGCAAATTTGATAAGCATTCCTTCCACCTCTTCATCCAAGTAATTAATACAAAGTTCAAGAGTAGAAGAGACCTCTCTCCAAGGTGATGAGCAACTGTTGAGTCTCCGAATATGTTTTTCAAGCCAGCTATGCAACTACATAATTGTCATGCCATTCATACCATGAGATAACAGACACCTTGGTGGGAACTAGACTTCCACCTCCCTGAAGGTGGAAGGGAAGGCCGGGAGAGAAGATTGTTGTTGTTGTTCTCCAAGAGATTATACTCATGAGTGTTTTGCAAAAATAAAAATGAGAGAGAGAGAGAGAGAGAGAGAGAGAAAGAGAAAGAGAGAGAGAGAATATCTGAATAACTCAAAAAGTCCTCTTGAACTTTAAAAATTAGTAAACTGATTGTAGCATGAAGTAACTTGCAAAGGTAATATAGTTTACATAAAGTGGAAAATTCCAAGATTATGGATGTACACTGACTACAACTCTATCTGGTCAAACCAGAATCTTTGCACTGGTTTGCACTGAAACAAGCGCATTTCAGCCACACAATGTTTAATCTGTAAAAATCGACTCTGTGGGGACATTTCTTTATTTATTTTATTAGGCTTATGTGCTGCCCCAATCACTGAGCAGTTTACAATCCTACTATATGTAAACAGAACTATAACGTGTATGTGTGTATACCCACCCACACCCACACATCAAACCAGCAAACATTAGGAAAGTAACAACCCACTCTTCTGCCAAGAAATCTTAACAATACTAATGTACAATACTAATATATTACAATACTAATACTAATATACAGACCTGCTGAAATAACCATGTTTTACTTGCGTTTATGGATCCCAACAGTTTTGGGCAAGTTTGATTCTCCAGGCGGATACTATTCCAAAGGATGGGGGCAGTGATTAAGGCGGCTCACCTCTAAGAGCCCTGTAGATGGAATTGTTTTAGGAGAGGGGATCCATAAGAGCCTTTTCTTCCTGGCCTAATTAGCTGGGCAGAACTCTTGGGAGCAGGAAGTCCTAAAATATGTATATGAAGGGATAGAGTTTTAGGAATATTCAGGTCAAGCAACTACTTTGCTGATTTGTATTTATTATAACTAATGGTTTGTCTACACTTCTGGTCTTGTAGCCCATCCCCAACTAATGTTTTGGATATGAGCAAAATCTGAT